GGTTTATCTGATAAATTATAAGAGAAAGATAACTCACTAGTATCTTTTGAAACCAGAGAAAATTCTTAATATGGAACAAATTGAATGATAGCTTTTTCTGACTTCTCTTTCCTTGAATAGCTTTTCAAGTTTGGTTTATCTAAACATCCAACATTATCTTTTTAAGTAAAACTTTCTACAATAGAATTCTCTCCATGAATATGGCTCTTAATTATTAACCAATTAGTTATCACTTCTTCATTCACACTCCCTCCTGAAGAGGTGTTGGATATGAATTGAAGTAAGACTCGTTTTCCCTAAAGGCAACATTCATAGTTATAAAATATTTTTTAGACAGTAGATGATAACACTTGTAGACTTTTTGGGGTAGAAGAATATACAAGAAATATACACTTACGAGTTCTAGGTTCTAATTTACCCACATTTCTAACATGAGTAAAGCACGCATATTCAAACACTTTTGAGGAAATAATGTAAGAATTTTTTCCTTACAAAACTTCCATGGAACTTTTAAAATTCAAAATCCGTAAAAATATTCTATTAATAAGATAGATAACTGAGAGAATTGCATCTCCTCAGTAAATTTGGTAGATTCATGATGAATATTAGTGAGCGAGTTACTTCCAATATTTGTGTTTTTTTTTTTTGAGCAACCCTATTTTGTTCACTAGTGTAGCACAACTTGTCTTATGAATTATTACATTTGACTCCAAATAGGTACGAAATCCACTATTCATATATTCTGTACCACTGTCAGTTATTAGAATCTTAATTTTAGTACTAAATTGTATGTATATCATTTTATGCAATGATTGAAAACATAAAAATACAACACATTTTATTTTTAATAGATAAATTTATGATAATCTAGTACAACAGTCAATAAAAATAACAAACCAAGTATGACCATAAAGAAAAATATTCTGAGTAGGTCCCCACACATCAGAATAATAATTATAAAAGGATCAATATTTTTATTATACTTTAATGATAAGAGCTGCTCTTATGTTTAGTAAGTTCACATGTATCACAAAATAAAGACTTCATAAAAGTTCTTTAGATAAATTAAAATATAATTTTTTTGAAACAAAAAAGGAAGGATGTCCCAATCGTCGGTGCCATTGTAGCATCTCCATATTGATTTCTTTATTCCCAATAGTGGCTTGATTTCCAATTGAGTTCTGGTGTCTATCCAAGACATATAAACCATCTACTAGTGTCAATCTTCTTCCCGATTTGAAGATCCTGAAAGATATAATGATAAAAAAAAAATTGAGTTCCGCAGTCTACCAGTGTCAATTTTCTTCCCGATTTGAAGATCCTGAAAGATATAATGATTAAAAAAAAATTGAGTTCCGCAGTCTACCAGTGTCAATCTTCTTCCCAGTTTGAAGATCCTAAAAGATATAATGATAAAAAAAAAATTCAATTTTATAGTTGACATATCTAGTTATGACACTAATAGATAAAAGATTGTTAGAAAAACTAGATATATATAAAACTGAAGACAGTGTAATAGTAGGAGTACAATTAATAGAACATGTTCCCGACATGGGGGGTGTATGACCCATCTGCTATACGGACATTGTCCCCTTCAGTACAAGAAGAATACGTTTAAAATTTTTTATAAGAGTCTGTCATGTATCTGTTAGCTCTAGAGTCTATCATCCAATTATCAAGAGTGGAAATAGGATAGAGATAAACAATATCTGATTTTACAATATTTGATGTGCCAACAGTTGATGAAGAGTTAAGTTGACTCAGAAGACGCTTCAGGTTTTGAAATTTTTTTATGAAAAATGCTCCATCAGATGGTGAACTAGGTGCTTCCCTAACTTCAACAAAATTTGTTTGAACTCTTGTGGTTCCACCTCTACTTTTTTTCTGACCTCTAATTGGTCTTCCATGCAACTTTCAGTAAATTGCCCTATTATGTTTTGGCTCACCACAATAATCACACTTCTGTGTATCTCTAGATTGATCATACTAAGTAACTAATCCAATCTTCTTAATTGGTGCAATGTGAAACATAATATTTATTCTACTTTTTTCGTATTGGACATAAGTGTTTGTTCTAATGAAAGAAAAAGATCTTTACCAAGCACTTGGATCTATTTTTAATTATATTCGGTGTTCAGACCAGTTAAGAAATCATAAATCCGCTCTCTTTCTATTAGTTTTTGAAATTTGGCTGCAGTTACAGAATAATATGTTTGAAAATCTTGATAGTAATCTAATTCTTATCATAATCTATTAAGTTTAGAAAAATATTGAGAAATAGTCATATCTCATTCCTTTGTGCTATGAACTTTATCCCAGGATTTATAAATCTGAGTGTCATTACCCATCTGTGAATATGTAAGAGATGCTACATTTCATATTTTTTCATTAGTTTTAAGCGACATATATGTTCTAGCAATTGGTATTGCATGAAATTAATGAGACATGACATTACCAATGAGCTCTTTAAGTCCCATCTATTATATTCTAAATTATCAACATCTGCTTTTTTTCACCTCACCAGTAATATAACCTTACAATCCTTTAGATTTGATAAATAATAAACAATATTTTGAGCAAGCAAGATAATTAGATCCATCAAACTTTATGAGATTGATTTATAATGAAGGATTATTGAAACTAGTAACACTCACATTTTTTGCATCTATAATCTTATAATACTAAAAAAAATGAGAAAAATATCCAATAAGGAAAGACGACCCTCTTAATCTGCATCAAATGAGTCAAAAAAAGATTAGAAAACTGAAAAAATAACAAATTCTGGAATCAGATTTGGCTCAGCTCGACAGTGGTTTGGACGCAGATAGCTCGGCTTGGGTGCAGAATGACCAGAACGGGTCGGCCCGGCACACGGAATGGTGAGATCAGAAGTCCCCGTGCACGGAAAGCTAGAATAGCGCGTGGAAGACGTCTGTCCGACAATGCAGTGCAGTTCAGTGCGCGGCTAGAGCGGGGTGGCACGCGGGAGGTCTAGATGAGTTGCCTCAAGGTGTGGAACAGCCGAGACGACGCGGCGGAAGGCGTGGTATAGTGGATCGGCCGAATGCACGCAGCTGCGTGAAGTCTAGAGTTTGGATGCGCGACGCATGCTGGATCGCATGCAAAATGCCAAAAAAGAGCTGGATTTTGGTGCACGATGGCCATGCAACACGATTCCGGCCGAAATGAGGTGATTCTTGATGGCGCATGGGGTTCACGTGCTTCCACTGCCCGTGGCGCATGTGGCTCACGCGCGGCAGAGACTCCTCCGGTCTCGTGTCAGTGAGCTGCGCTTTGTTTGAATAGTTGGTGAGATTAGATTTGTTTTTATATATAAGTAACAACTCAGTCTATTTTATTATTTTAGAATTTTGAAAAAATTATGAAATTAAAATCCTAAAATTAACTTCATTTTGCCTCTGATACCATGAAAATTTTTAAAGAAAAATAAACTATTAATTTTATTTCTTATGTTTTGTGTTTACACTTAAAAAATATATATAAAGTAGTTATTTTTATTTTACATAGATTATAATTATAAGATATAACTTTACTATTAGAACTCTAACTAATAAAATATCTCAATTAATATAATATTCTATTTAGTATGGAATCCTTATCAACAATGATATATTCGAAACTTCACTAGATCATGAAGAGCAAATAAATAATAAAAAAGTAAATGTAATGGTGATTGAGCAAAATTTTAAAAGTATTACAACCTAATGATGAAGAATTAATTAATCGTATCAAATATATAAACATAAATGTTGTAATTGAGATAGTAAAAGATATTGTAGAATAGGCTGTCATTTCTGTTTATGAAGTTGAATTTTCTAATAATCGATTTTCTGATTTAATAGCAAAGAATGGTATTGCTTATGTCGAGAATAAGGATATTCTTATTGACTTTAAACTCCATGAATATAAAAAAAAAGCTTTATTTGAAGAAACTGCAATAAAAGCATTTTATGCAACCAATGGTTATAATCAGACTTTGGTGATTCTTCCATTTGTAGATTTTGTCTTGCCAAATTGCTCATTCGCTTCTTCAGAATCCATAGTTTTAGAAACATTTTTGTTTTCTCACAATAATTTTAAGTTTTTCATATTTCAATTGTTAGGAAGATATGTTTAAATTGTAATATTACTTCTACTACTACATTAAAACTCGAGGTTGAGTTTTCAAAAAATGGAGTAGAATGACGTAGAGCTGAAAAATCTTAAAGTAGACATTTTCAATAGTAAGATATTTTTATGTAAAATAATGTTTATATATTACTAAAACACTTAGATAATTTAGGAACTAATATCTATAGGCTTATTAATGATATAAATATATAGAAAGATTATTTAGGAACTAGTATCTATAGGCTTATTAATGATATAAATCTATCTAATAAGATCTTATTTAGTTGTTCTCTATTACATGATATTCTAAATAATTAGCTTATTGTCCTGTTTTGTCAGATTACTAGATAGATTTAAGAATTCTGAATTTAATTATATTTTGGTTCCTATAAATAGGGTAACTTATCTTAATTATTTGGTCGATTAACCATAAATATCATAAAAATAATAAATTAATCTTTGATTATTGAGATTCTACATCTCCAATTTTGGTTGTTAATAAATTTTCTCAAAGTTTTCTGCTCAAGCTCTCCCTATCCTACATCACATAATATTTGGTATCTGAAAATTTCTTTCTTGTGCATGCTTGCTCTCTAATTGATTGGCCATGTAAGTATTATATTCATAGTAATAGGACATTTTCTTCTGGCATGATCAAGTTTCTGTCTGCAAGAAAGTTATGTCTTTACTTTCTATAATACTTGAACTTTTCCTTGGAAGTCAATATATGTATAATCTATCTCTACATAATTATATAAATACACATACATATCCAAATTCTATTTCCAATCCTTCGGAATTTTATGCTGCTTCCTAATATTTGTAGCATTTGTTTTACTAAAGTTCTATCTTCCTCTGTCTCCAAGCAGATATCAAAAAGAAGAGGCGCTCAGATTTCGTGTTGCTAGAACCAATGAAGTTAGCCAACTGGAGACGGTATATAGACTCCACAAAAAGTGATTTTTTCCCTGAATTTGCTTCAAAGCTTTTCCATTTTCATGTGATAATGATAGTGATCCCATGCTTAAATTGCATCACTATACTAAGACTATCTTTGGAACAAATCTAAAAATTTTATGGAATTTATTTTTCAAGCAACATTTAGTTCAACTAGGAGTTGTAACTTGATGTAATTCTTCTACAAGAACCGAAAAAGTTGACCTGTATAGAATTTTATGTGAAACTGGAACACTAAATTTTATATTCCATCAAACTCACTTTGTAATTAGTTTAGGAAGGGGTTTCATTGTCTTCTAGTTAAACCAAATTTGGTTTGCAAATCAGTTTTACAAAGTTTCTAATTTTATTCTGAAGATCGACCAAATAAAGTTAAATGAAGCACTAAGAATTTCGGAACTGTTTCTGCTCTTTCTTTGTATTTATTCCCTATAGATACCTGTTTGATGCAATGTGAAAAAGAATTCCATTTCGAATTAGCTCCCTAATTAGATTCCTATGCTAGTTTTTACTTTTTTTTGCAATTTTTGTCTAATACGTGCTGTCATTAAAATGATACTTGCTGGATTCACCAACCTGGTTTAGCTGCAAAATCCTTCGTCCTGAAGAAGTGAAAATTTCTACGTTTCTAGCTCTGGAATTTTACTTTTTTCGTGCTCTTTGGTTGAGTGTAATACAAATGAATGATGACTGATATACTATTTAACTCAAACTCAGATCAAATCTGTTTCTCTTTTTTTTCCATTTATTTGATCTCTAGGAATACCAAAAATAAGTATAATGGGATTTTCCAGGAACTGGCCATGGAAATTGGACAGCTTGAGACACAAAAGGATGAACTTGAAGCTGAATTGAAACAGGTTTCTCTTTTCTTGAATTCGAGATTGTATGTACTGTGTTTATGTGTCTGTAGTGTGTCTGCAGTGCAAGATGCATAAGCAAGAAGCATGTTTTGGAAGACAAGACATTTCCAGCACTACCAGCTATCTTATTATTTCTTCTTATGACCTTAAGAAATCTGTGTTTGCAGTTTGTATTTTTCGATTCTTATATATATTTATATATATACATATATATATAAATTTTTGATGGGGTTCTTTCGATCTTCTCTTGTTGGCTGACAGTTTATTGCTGGGCACTTGATATAGGTGAATACCTCATTGGCTTCTGCTCGTGCACGCCTGCACAATACTAGGGAAGAGCGAGAGCAATTTGATGAAGCAAGTAATCAGATTCTTGAGCACTTGAAATCGAAGGTATTGCCACTTTAACTCTTGCCATGTCAGGCGATTTATCATTCCTGCTTGTTGTGGACAATTCTTTTCTTAACTATTTAAACTTGTTTTTATCCTTTATAAAAACAAATTGTTTGGTTTTGGTCATAGGAAGATGAGCTGTCAAGATCGATTTCCTCATGTAGAGTCGAAGCAGACATTGTTAATAGATGGATTAATTTCTTGGAAGATACTTGGGTTCTCCAGAGTATGTTCATTGAAGAAAAGGAAAAGAAAGTCAAGTATGTCTATTTGAATGCACTTTTTCTTCCTCTTTGTTATACGATTAGGACCTGAATTTTTCCCTTATTTTTGAAGTATTGTGAGTTCTCTGTATTCAATATTTTTATTTTAAGTATTTATATGCGCATGTTCAAGTGAGGAATTGGATACGCATGGAGAATATTTTGTTCATCTGGTTATTCATCTTCTCTCTACTTATAAGGTACATATTGTTCCATCAATTAAGATGGTTTCGCCCCCGATTTTTTTTATGTCCTCGTCACTGCTATTTATAATAATTTTTCAATGCATTCATCAGTTGTTTCTAAAGAAAATCATTGCGTTCAGGACCAATTGGAACCTTCTGTTGCTCCAATTAAAAAACTGGTGGAAGAGCTTCAACCAACAGAAGGGTACTCTGGTTAATTCGTTCTCTCTTTGAAATACTAATTTATTGTCTTCAATGAAGATTTCTTCCTTGTTAAAAGACTTTTGGTTAAATATCAGGTCAGAAGCAGCTAAAAGTAGAGATACTGAAAATTCACAATTAAAGAGCCTAAAAAGATTTCTCAAAGAGGAATATCTGGAGTTTGAAGCCAAGGTATATATGAATTAGTTTTTATTTTCATTCCAGGCAATTTCTTAACTCAATTTTCCAGTGTTCTGAACCTTGTGACTGCATTGTTTATGTTTGTTTTAAGTAGCACCAGAGATTGACTCTATTAAGAGCTAATATTTTCTTCCATCTGTCAGTTTCTGACAACCCTAAGCATAGTCGATGAAGTTAAAAGGCAGTTCTATGCTCAAAATGAAGGCAATTCCAGGTAAAAGAAAATCATTCTTATTTCCCAACACTTTGTCATGGTAATTCCATTAAATGCTCTTGATCCAGGAAAAATGACAAGAGGATCATTGAGCTATGTAATGCTCTTGACAAAATAAAAGAAGATTTTGAATTCATTGAGAGAGTAATTTCAGAACTTGAGACTTCGGCTCAAAGATCAGAGTCACCACCTTCCCGTGATAATAAACCTAGTCAAAATCAACACTATATCCCAATGGGCGCCTCAGGTTCACCAGAACACAAACACAATTGGAAAGTAAAATATCTCTCAATGAAAAAAAAGGCTGAGACAGATATAGTTAAACTGGAGTCGGAATTTGAGGATAGTGCACCCTCATCAACAGAGGATATCGGTGAATGGGAGTTTGATGAACTCGAAAAGGAGCTGAACATCAGTGGCTAACCAACAAGTAAGACAGATGGGTTTTCAGATGTACATACGCATCTCCATCTCCATCTCCAGCTCCCCAAGTGTATGCAGTCTTCTGACAAATGGTGCTTGTTGTGTACCAGAGAATTGCAGGCTTTTTCTTTTGCAGGAGGTCACTGGAGATTTTAACTGTTATACAACTAGTAAATATTGATAGAACACCAGTCAAAATATAGAGGAAAACAACCAGAATATCGTTTACTTCCAACAGTTGCAAATTTGATGGGAGTTTACTCCAGAACATGGAAGCTTTTATCATCTAATGTAAATCTCTGTAATTTGATGGCCACATGTAGATGTTATTTAATGATGAAATCCTTATATAAGTGGGATTTCAATTTTTCATTCATTCTTCCCACTCTCTGGTATAAAGCAAATGTAAAAGAAATTCTTTTGGCTTCTGAGAAAACCTTTTTCTGGGAATACCTATCAGCTTAGTTCTTGAGTTGTGAAAAATATGAAAAAATGTCATTGCAGGTTTTGAAGTCAATGGAAAATAATTTGCAGAACCCTTTAAATTTGAAAAATGTCCACGCAGGGTCATTATTAAAATGCCACACTTTATTCAGGATTACCATCATGCGACTGCTGCTGTGAGTGTTGTTGCTATCACAATAATAAAACCCACCTTTAACCAATTTATCTTCCTAAACTTTTCTTTTTTATTTCTTTCTTTCTTTTAAACCGAAAATTTTATTTTATTCATTTTCCCAGTTCTATGCTGTTGCTTTATGTGATTGTGACATACAACGGCTAATCATGTGAAGAAATATCACCCGGTAAAAAGCATCCAACATTTGTACAAATATCTTCTGCTTGAATTTTGATTTTTTTCTCATTGAAGTCGATAACTTTTATATATACACGCATGTATAAGAATTTAGCACCTAAAAGTCCATGAGCAAAAAACTCCAATCATAAAATGCCAGATTATATATGAGCACATGCATATAATGGTTTTGACACAATTCATAACAAAAGAGTAGAATAACAATTGAAAGTCATTATCCTCAGATGAAAGAAAAGGACTATAATTACAATCGAGGGTAATAAATCACGTTCCAAAGCTGATAGAATCGGTGGATACAGAGAATCAAAGAGATACTAAATGGTCGATCAAAAGGAAAGCAAGTACTTGTCATAGAGATTGGTGAGAAAACTCAAGCTATAGAAACTTTGCAGAAAGAACTAGAGAAAATGAAGCGAATAGAGCATATAGTGGAGCATAAATATATAGACTTGAATGAGAGTGAGAAACCTTAACTTGCGAGGAGATAAGCGTTGGAATGAGGACCAAAGTTGATGTAGGACAAAGCCACCATTAGAAAGGGCTTGGAGGGTGAACCTTCAGGATTTATAGTGACCTCAATGAACTAATATTTGTGTATGTTTGGGTAATGTAAGGTGAGACAGTAGCTAAGATGAGGTGAGAAGCTAATGCAGCCAATTTATTAAGACTAAGAAAAAGTTAATGTAATCAATTGAGAATTCACATATTAATTAAAGGACAAGTTTTATGTAAAAAAAATATTTTCCATTTCGGCTATTTTAAAAGGTCATCTTTTATACAGAGTATTCTAAATGAGGTCATTCCACTAAAGTTTAGCCTCCACAAATTAATTAAAATGACAACATTGAGAACTCCATTAACCCTTTAGACTACTATAAGATACTATGGAGTTTCATGGAGCTCTAATGCTTTGGTATTTATAAAGGTTCCCTTGAACCCTTATAAAAAGTGCTTGTGAGTAGTTTCCAATACTGGAACTAGGGAGTATCAAAAAATTTAAGAAATTGGTTGATTCCTAACATGATTAATTGGAATTGGAAGCCTAAGAAGTTATCTATTAATTCCTTTTGTGTTAGAAGAGGAAGAATGAATCCCTATGGGACTAAGTCATATGTTTTGAGCATAATTTGCCACGATTGGGAAAGTGAATAAGGAAAAAATAATTACAACAATATCAAACGGGATAAACCATCTGATTATTTTCTTTTAATTTTATTTATAAGTCCACCTGATATCTTAATAGAGTTGTTTGCTGAAGCTTAAGAGTACATGAATATAGAAGAGTTAATTCATATATAGGAGGATGGTGAAATACCTGCCTAGAGGAAGAAAAAAAGAATAAGAGAATGATAAAAGTGACATTAAGTGAAGAAAATCTATAGATCCTTCATGGCAAACAGAAGTTGGGGCACATAAGAAACCTATGAATAATACACCTTTCAACACATGTCCCTTTCATATCTTACTAAGATTGGGGATGAGGACTTCCTCTAATGGCTTTCATGCCTAAAGACCAAGAATAACAAGCATGATAAGACAAGATATTGTTCTTTTCATGGTAGCCCTAAATACAATACTAACGAGTATAAGGAACCTAAAGCTAATGTGAAAATTCTCATAAGAAAAAGCTACTACCAAAGTTCATGGTTAAGGTTGGATTTTGTCCAAACGATAAAAGTAGTAATGATTAAATAAAGTTTAATAAATAACCCCAACAAGGACTTGGGATAAACTTATGGCAAGGGTCACATATACTATTATAAGAAGAGCTATTTCAAGAGAGGGCTCTTTAAATGAAAGTTGGGGTTATTAGTAATAGTTTGTTTGACAAGCTAATTATACTAAATCTAGATAAACTGATATTGGTATAGTTCATTTCAAATCTTACTTAATTAAACATTTCATATTGATGTAAAAAAAAAAATTATCATAAGTTGCTTTATAATAATAACTATCCTATAAACTATATAATTTAAATATGGTTGTGGTAAGATCATAATAATGGGATACACTAAATTTAGACACAATTCATAAGTATCTCTAGTAACAAAAAATAATTTGATTGAACACCATTATATCCAAATAAACTAGGAAATATCATGTCATTTTATGGTGAATGTTTGATCTTACTTGACACTAATATATGGATATTGTGACAATTATATACATACTTGTTCTTAGAGTAAGTTTGCTAGAGGGATTTTTATTGCGCATCAAGTAAGGATCTAATCATAACAGTAGTAAAGAATTATGTGGATTTAGTTCCAAGGTAAATGTTTATGCATGATAAGATATACTTTAATCCTAAGATATTATATTTACTTTCAATTGTCTTAATCAAACTAGTTATTGAGTCCAAAGTCATGCAAATGGTACTTAAAAATTCATTATTTTCTTAAATCACGTCTATAGTAATATATGCTTTTAGAGATTTTTAAATATATTGTGAATAGAAAAAATATATTTATATACTACCTATTAATAGATAGGTTCTTTATGTAAGAAACAAATACATTCTCTTGATATATATATATATGTCAGATAGATAATGTAAAAATTTATGCTCATAAGATGATGAGATTTGAGAAGTTATTTTCTTAAATTAAATTAGACTTATCTATAATAGTGCTTATAATAGATGTTTGATCTCTCATTGGCTAGCAACTTTGGTTATTGAATTTATTCACTTAAAGCTCAAAAATTGTTCTTAAAGTTTAAGGAAAGATTCTTAAGTAATGTCTTAGAGAAATTTTTATCTTAAGCCCTTCAAGAGGGATAAATAAATTCCGTATTTTTATGCATGAGTATTCAACCATGATAAGAGAAAATAGTTGTTGAAATATTTAAATTGATTTTGATGAATGAAAAATTCTTAAATTTTTTTTATATGAAGGTGTCATTGGTTAAAAGGCAAAAAAAAAAAAAGAAAAAGAAAAATGGAAGATTTAAGAAGTGTAATAGTGTATTTATACATAGGAAATTCTAATTTTTTTCATTTTTTATTTTTAAAATGTTAAATGTGATGTGATATAATTTATCAAGAATAAATCATTTAAAAAATTAGAAAATTAGTTTTTTGTGTTTTTATGTAAAAATAATTCAAAATAATTTTTTATCGAAACATATCAAACTTGTAAGAAAATTTTTGAAAGAAAATATGTAAAGGTTTTGAATCATATGTAAGTGGAATTTGTTGTGGAACAACATACCATACACATAAAAAGATTATTCAAATCATGTAATGTGATCTGCGACAACACGGTCTTCACATGTAGAAATGTCGCTTAAATCATGTGATGTGATGTGTAATAACATACAATTCTACAAATGAAAAATTATTTAGATAATATGATGTAAAATATAGCGGTATAAATTTTCTATAATAATAAGTCAGATTTTATATACATAATTCTTTGCTTTCTACCAAAACTAAAGTTATTAATTCAATCTTTTGATTATCAACAACCTCATTAACTTGAAAATATTTCAAGTATTTATGTCATGACATCGAAAATTTATCCATTGGATAAAGGAATTTTAATCCAGCTAGGTTTAAGTTATGCAAAATGTTTCTCATGAAACTTGAGCTATTAACTTTTTCCACTAATTCTTTAAGTTTAGAAAGTTGTTAGAATACCCTAGTAGCATATATGGTAGAAGAAGAAAGATTTACTTGAATAATTGGTTTAAAACGCACAAAATGTATTTGTCTTCACTTTGATAAGACTTTTAAATTATTGCTCTAATAACAATTTGTAACACCCAATTATTATTATTATTATTTATTTATTTTTATGTTATTTTATTATTTCTATATAAATATAAAAATGTGTTAATTGAATTGAATTTAATTTATTTTATTTTAATTTGATTAAATGAAAATAATAGTAATAATAATAATAAAAATGGTAAAAAAATAATTGAGAATTTAATTGAAAATAATTTTGAAAAAAATGGGTGAAAATTTGGGTTCTTAGGGTATTTTTGAAAGAAAATAAAAAATCGGAGTCAAAACGCAATTTAGAAAAGTTACACCATGTCAGCTGCTCGGTCAGCAGCCCCGACCAATAAGGACGCGCCAGGTGGTAGAGACACTGACGCGGGAGGCCACGCGGGGGGAGCCATGTGGGCGATCTGCGTGCGTGCAATCGAACGGCTGAGATCCGTTCTCGTGCGCACGGACGGCCTAGATTGAATCGCGATGAACGGTCCAGATTCACTCCCTATTTAATCGCGATCAAACGGTCCAGATTAAAAGCGATGGATGGCCCAGATCAAAAGCTGATGGGTATAAATAACCCCATCCGCACCCAAACCCTAACCCTAGTCGCCAGAGCCCCTCATCGAAGAAGACAGCCAAGCTGCCGGGGAGCCGACTGCCGCCACTCGCCGCCGCACCGGAGCAATTTTCGACCGCCAAACGAAGTAAAAATTCTACCATTTGCTCAGAATTTGATTCCAAACCCACCTATGGCCAAATCAAAGTGAAAGAACCGACCAATTGGCCGGAAAATGCCGCCAAAGCTCAGCGGCGCAACCGCGGGGTGTTTCAATTTTTGCCTCCGATGAGACCCTTCTCGATTCCCGTTCGATGTGATTTTTTCACTATTGTGATCACCGTTTCCTCCTCTACAGGTTGACCGGAGCAAAACACGCAACCGTAATGTGAGCCGGAGGAGCTGCCGCACCAGAGAGCCCCACCGCCGGTTAGTTTCAATTTTCTACGTTTTTTCAGCCCATCGAGGGCCCTAAGTGTGTTTTCTCACAGGAACCGATGCAAGTTTGACTGAATTCGGTCGAAAACAGCCAACCCGATGTGGATCGCCGCCAGTCGTCGGAGCACGGCGGAGCCACAGTGCCAGATTTTTGAAATTGGTTGAGTAGGCCTTGGGTCTGATTTTTGAGTTTATTTGAGACACTTGTAAGTACCGTAAGCGCGTTTCAGTTCCCGAAGGAAAATTCAAGGAACCTAGGGACCACCCGTAGGCGCAAGAACTATCCAGTTTTCGGCGTCAAATCAAGTAAGAACCACTCACCCTATTTTCTATCATGAAATTGAAGTTTGAATAAATGATAATACTGTATTTTGTACAAATTAAATAGCTATGCATAATTAATTAAAGTTGCTAATTGAGCCCGAACAGGACATTATTCTATATCGATTCCTACTTGATTTATTTTACAGTTTAAATGTATTATGGTATCTGGTCTATCTATTCTATAGTTTTAAATGCATGTATTACTGACTTACTGACACTGTGTGATTTTGAAAATTAAGATATGATTCTATTACCGGGTACATGTTTATTGTTTATGTGATTATGTTCAACTTGGTAACGGAGACTAATGAAAAACAGATAAGGTGACAGCCTCACTAGATATCTTGGGAGATGGTGGATGGACCGGGTTCATACGGAACCCTACTGTGAACGTTGTCTCATACCGGACGGGGTATGGAGACTTGGTCATTTGGTGCTCATACCGGATGGGGTATGGGGACGACCCGCTTCACCCTCATACTAGACGGGGTATTGAGATTTAATGTCTTGGTGCTCATACCGGACGGGGTATGGAGACGGCCCTGAAATTAAGATTGTTAAGAAAAATGGTTCACGTGTAACGGGAACACCCCTATGGATCCTCATGAATATTAGTAGACTGGTGAAAACGAAAAACGGTGATAATAAGTTATTGTTAATGAATACGGATTTATGATATATTTTATCTTACTGATTACGCATGAAATTGTGATCTGTATGATGTTATTGTCTTTATAGGTTGTTTTCACAGGTTCTCCAATGGTAAGAAAAATGGTAAATAATTTTATTTTAAATAAATGTATTGGTTTAAAATTTGTGTTCCATTAGTTGTTTTTAATTTTCTACCAACATTTGCTTCTGCAACGGCGATATAGTGTGATATCCTTACTAAGCTAGTATAGCTCATTCATTATTTAACCATTTCAGATCAGGAGGATCTCATTCCCGAGCCCGATCCACAAGAAAACTGTGAGTAGATGCTAGATGTTTTATAGTTTCTTTTATTTTTCTCATTTTTCTTATTTTTTTTAGAGAACTTATTATGTGATGTTGTTTAGTACTTTTAAGTTATTGTGTAAAATATGTTAATCTTAATATTTTATTTCACTTCTACACTCACATTATTATATGTATTTTCTTTTGAATTTTCGGGGCCGTTACACAATTGATTTTATTTTTATGTCTCATGTTACTCAATTGTCTTGACTTAGAGTGCCCTATAGATTCCATCACGAAGTCATTAAGCTTGTAATTAAACCCTTTGGTTGTCATCAAGCTTCTAATTATGTTGGTAATCAATTAAGGTTGTCTACCCTTTTTTCTTGACCATCACAAGAGGAGAAGATGAAGTTTCTTCTCGGACAAAGAACTCTAATATCAAATTGTCAAGTTGTTGAAACATTATAAATAATTGAGAAAATAAATATGAAGAAAAATAATAACAAGAACGAAGTTAGAGAAAGACTTTTACTTTAAAGTAGAATAGAGAATACAGAAAACTTAATCAGTAGTTTAAATAACTTATATTTATGAATCTTCTATTTATCACTATCATTCAAATTATGATGTTTATTAATGCAACTAATGGACCGATCTTTAAATTTTAGTAATAAAAGCGCACAATTAAAAAAAAAATCTAATTGAACACCAATTAGTAAAGTATGTTTAACTAATTAAAGAAAATAAAATAAAATTCATGAGCATTTTAAATCGAATTTTGTTTTCAAGTTTATTAAGTGCTATGTCACAATAAATTTTGAGTTTTGAAAAGCATAAACTTAGGGTTAACTCAAGTATTACTACCGTTATTGTCCTCTATCGGAGGATTAAACAAACACAAGCTCCTTCGGATATCCAAAACTTCAAGTTAACTTGAAAAAACAATTAAAAGACAAGATAAGTACATTTCATGATCTTCATCTTCATCTTTGTCGACTTCTTCTAGATCATATATGTTGTCGAATTGTAATTTGGGGCAATGCAATTTCTGAGTTATATTATGTTTATAAACAATAAAGCACATTATATGCAAAGAACAAAAACTTGATGGAGACAAGAACTAACTATTCAGAATTGAAGAGTAAGTAGTACTACAAAGTAATCTTTATGCTAAAATAGGAAGACAGGCACTGGACAGCTCAGTTCCCCTTCTTCAATGTTTAGTCACCATCAACTGTTGGAGTTTCTGCTTGTAATTTGCTAGGTTTAATAATCATCGTCAAACCTATCATACCCATAATATCCCATATGGGTATATATTTATATATATATATATATCTACAATTTATAGGGTTTTTTCAAGAGAAACTCAATGGAACTGGGGACCCTCTTCATTATTGAATCCTAATGTAAAAAACCCAAAAGAAAAGAAGAAAAACCAACCTTGTAAAAATTCGTTTTTTTCTTCATTAGTTTCTTTAATTTTTGTTGCAGAGAAGTTTGTAGATAACACGGGGAAAAATTACAGAATGATTCTCTCATTTTCCAAATTCAATATTGTTTTCTTGGTCTGTTTTTTAAAGGGTGTGTTATATATGTAGATACATATTCTTCTGCAGAAAAAGCTGGCATCTTTTGTAATAAAAAATTAAAAAAGAAAGGCAAAGAATCCCATGTAGATTACAGTATGATAAATATGCAGTTAAGATTCCACAGGCTTCGTCTTTCATTTTCTTGAACACTGTTTGGTTCTGCCTTACTTTACATTGAAACTTGCAATAAAAACAAGAGAAACTGTCATCAGTCTTCTTTTTAGTGAAAGATTCACTCAACCTTGAACAAAAACCACCTAAATTCAAAGTATGCTTTTCATGAGTTTCCAAAAACATCATGCTTGCCTTGTTACCTCTCGACTATTCTCGTTCAATCATATACATTAGATATTCAAGCAAATTCAATCTTAAATCTTTTATGCATTAACTTTATATTATAAGTAAAGACTAAAAGGGAAACCCCCTTCTTTCTTTCTTTCTTTCTTTCTTTCTTTTTTTTTTTTTTGTTTCAAAGTCTACTATTGGTCAAAATTTGGTCCACCTTATGAAACTGAGTGGAAAGAGAAGAGAACGTAATAATGTACTTTCTGGAAGGTAAGTGATTGTACTTCTATCACCTGCAATCAATGCAACGCCCACTAGATTCCCATGTAAGAATCATTTAAACTAAAAGGCAAATAAAAAAATTCCTGGAAAAGCAAACATATTAATTATCAAGCCAAGAGAGAGTTCAAAACATTTACATAAAATGAAAGTAAACTAAATAGTCGATAGGATATAGAAAATAAAAAAAAAATCAAATTAGATAGTAAATGGTAGTGAATATGGGATTAAACCCATGAAAAAAGATAGATGTAAATGTAGGAATTAGAACATTTGAAAAAGAAAGAAAGCTTTTGCTATAAAGAAATGAAGATATGGATGAGTGAGTGGGTTGTCAATTTGCCAGTAGTGAAAATGGTTGCTGAATCTTTTTTTTTTCTGAAATTTATTATTTGGAAGCTTATGACATGTTGAAAAAATATGAAATTTCCTTGCTCTTTTTTTTTGAAAAAAGGAAATCATTTCTTGAATTGGCTCCATCTTTCGTCTCTTTATAAGTCCGGCCTTGCTTTCCTCTTCTTCTCTCACTAAATATCAACAAGAGAAAAAAAAAAAAAAAAGATGGCAATAAAGGAATTAGATTCATGTAATAATGGAGATCATCATGAAGATTTCATTGACATAGAGTTGAGTTCTTATTCAAATTTCTTGTGTTATTCAATAAACTCTCCACCTCAAAGCAAGGAGTTTGAGTTTCAAACATGTTCAGTTTCAAATGATATTGATGGTAAACCCACAAATTCTCCTGCTGATGATCTTTTCTACAAAGGCAAACTTCTCCCTCTTCATCTCCCACGCCGCCTCCAGATGCTTCAGCAGATCCTCCATAGCTCAACCTTTGAACAAAACTCTGAAGATATCAATACCCACTTGGAATCTTACACCATATCTCCATGTGAGTCTGGTAGATTAAGCGGTGACTTAAACCCAGATGAGCACTTCTTCGAATGGTCGATCGAGGTGAGTAGTTTCATCAGTGACCATTCTACTACTTCATTGTCAAGAAAGCTCAAGAAATTCTCACTAGCTCAAAAGCTGAAGGCTTCACGGGCATACATCAAGTCTTTGTTTAGTAAATCCGGGTGTCCAAACGAGTCTTCCACCAAGGCTACATCTAATGCCAAACCAGACAAGCCTAATGAGAGTTTAAATAAGTACACCAGAATGGGGAAGAGGAATCCATTTGGAAGAACTGACTGCGTTTACAAGACCAATGAAAGAGAGATGGTTGATCACGATATTGCCATTTCCCAAAGAAGATCTTTCTCGGGACATTACGCAACGAAGTCATCGTCGTGTTCTTCATCAACTTCTTCATCTGGGTCTTCGTCTTTTTCGTTCAGTTCAAATGGACATTATGATCTGCAACTATTGAAGAGGAGCAGCAGTGCTAATTCAGAGGTTGAGAACTCAATTGAAGGAGCAATAGCTCACTGCAAACAGTCCCAACACTTGTTTAACCCACGGAAAGCTGCAAGCTAAGTATGCTTCAGAGATTAGGCTGGAATTTCCAGAATATGAAATTTCATGGCTTTTGATTTGACTACGTTGATAATCTCTCCCTGTTCATGTTTGGACTCTTTATTATTTTGAGGGAGAAAGTGGGTGTGACTGAATTCATTGTAATAGTAAGTTCTCCAGCAGTATTAGGAGTAGAGTAGCTTGTTTATCCTATTGTAAATGATCCCTCATTTGATCAATAATATAGAATTAATCAACAATAATTCTTCATAATAAATTGCACTTTAGATAGAAGGTAGAACTCAAAATGATTCTTCAAGTTTACATCTAAAGTGTAATGTCATATAAAATTAATATTTCTCATCTAGTCATCATTTATACTAAATGAAAATGAAAAAAATTTTCGATAAATTTAAAATTTTCTTTATCCGATATTGTGAAAAGAATAGATCAATGATTCATAAACTTTTCATCTTTTTTTCCGACATCCAAATCAATATCATATGAATTATATGTTATTGTCGTCTAAATTTATGTTTCTTTTATAATCAGTTATCTATTAGTTTATGAAAATGAAAGAAATTTTCGATAAATTTTTCTTTTTCAATCTATTTTTTTTAAAAAAAAAAATGAATCAATTATAATAATATTTACTTATTTTTTTTATTTTTTTTTAAAAAAAATAAAGTTATAAGAACGAAGATCTCAATAAATAACATTGATTCCCGTATTTCAAATCAAATATTAAATTGTAAAGAAAATGGATTAACCAGAAACCACACAGAATTTCCTTGTTTGAATAATTAAATGTGAATTTGATCTCATCTATATTTTCACAAGAAGTTCGATCATTACTAAATTTAATTTATTTAGACAATGTTTAAACAGCTTACGTAATGATTATGATCATAAGATATTCTTTATCTTGGTATAAAATATTTATTTTACCAAATTAATTAGACATTACTCAAACTTAAATTAAATTACCAATAAAATTATTCCAATGGGTATAAACTTAAATTATTCAAATCATCATAAAATTAAACATAATAAAACCAATATTTTATGAAGAACTATTCTTGTGATGCACGTGAAACATGTCAGGAGATATACAAGGCATCAAAAGATATATATATATATATATATATATATATATATATATGTATATATAATTCTGCAAAGTAAGTTGTCATCTTCTTGTACTTTATTGTGGTTCATGTTTCTATGTATAAAATGAGGAAAAAAGAAAGTGAAATCTCTCTTGTAGTTTATTTTGTTACTGCAGCCTGCAGCAGAAGATATTTTGTTAGTTTAGGGGGTAGGTATGGTGACAGGCATTGAGGGATCTTTTACCACTATGATATATATGCATCAAAACTTCTAAATTACAAAAAAAAAAACATTTGTATCCTTATTTGTCTTTTTTTATAATTTATAAAAAATTGTGTAATTTTTTTATAATTTATATTATTATTATTATTATTATTTTTAGCCTTTTGAAAAAAAATAAAAATGATTAAAAAATAAAAAAAAGAAACAACAAAAGGAAGAGTAAAAAAAAAAAGTATAAACAAAGTTATTCTTTAGTCTATTCTTTAAAATATGCAAATATAATGAAAATTATTTTAATTTACTCCGTTAGAAAATAAAATAAAATAAAAATAAATACTTTAAACGAATTAAGAACATTAAAAGATCATAATATAATAAAAAATATTAAAAATTAAATTATAACAAGAATCAAATTTTAATAACTAATTTGACAAATTATCTTTTAAAGAATTAACAATGAAAAATTTTGCAAATGATGCAAGCTAGTTAAATCCATAGATGAAGAACACCTGGAAAATAAAACTAATTGAAAGTACAAAACCAAGTAGGATTATTTCAGTGTGTGAAATCCAACAAGATCTGTCTAAAAGTTTCATCTAATCACTAAACAGTAATCCCTCTAGTACAAGTATGGATGGCCAATATTTTAAGTAACAAGCAAGATTGACATGAACAAGGTTGGTCAATCTTTCAAGTTAAAATAAGGTGAATAACAATAATATGATTCTCTTGTGAATTTCAGTGAGAAGCAATAGACAATAGGCTGAAAATTATGTTACATCAGGTATATAATATTCACAAATGAGAAGTAATAGGCTTGAGATTTACGTTACTTGTGTCGAGGAGAGCAAGGAGACAACTATGGTCAATAGCATGCAGTATATCAAATGTCAAACTGCATAGAGTTTATTGGTCAAGATCTCTGATTCCGACACTGAAATTGGTGAGCATGACCTGCTCATTGATGACCTCCGTATACTACGTAATCTGCCAACCTCGATACGATTTATGATCACCCAATAACACATAGTCCCCAATGTTGACAACATGATCACAGCCCCTACAACTGTTATGCTAACTGCTAACCATCTCTCTCTATCTCCCACGACTATATATGACAGTGCAAGGAATGCAACTGAAATCATCACGCAGGCCAGCCACATCAGCTTGTTAATGACTGCCATCATCTGCTTTTTAGCCTTTCTCTCAATAACTACAACCGATGTTTGCACCACTACAACAGCCAATGATATGAAAAGTGCAAATGCGTCAAATATAATGAAGACCAAAAATTCGGGTCTCTGAGCAATACGTGCTTCTCCAAGGACAAATCCAGGAGCAAGATTTTTTGGGCTATCAAAGTATTGACCAGGAACACTGAAGATGGCAGCAAATGCTATAGTAGCTATGAGAACAGCAACAACTGTGGTGGAGCTGATTGCATTGTTAAGCCCTTCTACATGTATTTTGCTGAGTCTTTTAGCTATACCCCGCACATGTTTTCGTGTTTGACGTGTGTGCTCCAGCTGGTAATGAACCTCATGTTTTATGTCACTTACAGTTTGTTTCAGTTCTCGAGCTGTGTCTTTTGTTTGTGGCTTGATGAAGTTGGCACACTTGACCCCATGTTCTTGTAAGATAACTGCTACCAGGGACTGCCCAGCTTTCTCGGCAGTGTCAAGAGCAGTTTCCCCAGATTTGTTAATGACTATTGGGTTGAGGCCACTATGCTCTAGCAGCTTTTGAGCAATCTGCAAGAAGACCTTTTATTATAAATAAGAAAGAGCTAACAGCCACGAACCTAATTAATCCCTGGAATCAATTTTAAATGATATTTCTGTAAATAAGCCTTTTCAAAACCAAATCTTTGTTTTGTCAAACCAAACCAAAGGAAGACACTATGGTTGCATTTCTTTTTAATTCTCATTCCATTATCACTTAAATTTTTATCAGTAGTCTTCAGGTTAGTATCGACATATTAAATTAGAAAATGATTTACATGTTTACTCTCACCCCATACTCTCACCTGAATTCTTTAAGGGTGAGAATCTTCCCTACAAAATTTTCAAGTGGAAACTGAATTCTCACTCCTAAAATATTCAAGGTGGGGATGAGGTGTGAAATCAAACATAAAACATGATCTAATTCTATAAGCTAAGAGGTATAGAAAAATTAGGATTGGAAACGAAATGGAAATTGAACCAAATAGGACATATATGTTGTTATGATGCTCAATCTCACAGATAACAAGTAAATCAAGGACTAGTTCATCACCTTGCAATGACAACTGGAGCAACCACATTCCATAAATAAAGTTAAAGCTAAAATATGGCAGTAATGATAGCTTTAATCACCTGAACCCGACCCTTACGGGTGGCTATATGCAATGCAGTATTCCCTTTTGCATCAACCATGTTTATCAAGGAATCATCTGAATTCATCAGTTCATCTACAACTGCTACATTCTGTCCTTTAACTGCCATGTGAAGTGCTGTCTGGCCCTTCTTGTCAACCCTAGTTGCAATCCCAAGTTCTTTACTCGTGAGAGCCTTGACTATCTCTAAGTGCCCATTCCTTGCTGCAGAATGCAAGGCAGTTTTGCCATTGCTTCTAGCAATGGCAGCCAAGCTGCTCACTTTATCCAAAAGGAAATTCACTACTTCTACATGACCCTGAGAGGCAGCTGTGTGAAGTGCCGTCGTGTTTGTAGAATCAAAAGTCACTGAAAGTTCAAGATCAGCCTCAATGAAAATCTTCAGCAACTCTGCAGCAGAAAGTTAACCAGAATAAGAAAGAAGTTGAATCCCAAAAATGATTTTTGACCTACAAATAACAAATAGAAAACTTGGCAACTAGAACTAGGGATTTAATAGAAATTTGAAAATTGTCCAAAAACACTACCATCAATAACACTGATTACACTTTTCAATTTTTACTATAATTAACATAGTGCACCAAGGAGAAATTGCCTTGTACAACAGATATACATTGATTTGGTATTATGGTTCCATTAAAAGCTTCAGAAAAGTCAATCTTCGGAATCTATTGGTCAATTAAATTTTCTATTCATAGAAATTGATATAGCATCAACGCGTAACTGTGGAACTGTAGAATTTGGAGAAAAAATATATTTTTATTCTCACCATTTAGGTTATAACACCTACGTATTTATAAAATTCTTAAACTACTAATCAGAAAATAACTATTCTACTAAAATTCTAATTACATAAGATTATTATTCTAATACAATTCT